TCTGCGTTTTTTGGTCCAAACCGCATTCAAAAAGCTGTAACCGTTGCCGAGATATAGCAGTTTGAATTTTGCACGATTTTCCAACTTTGACCCCCCGCCCCCCCTCTTGTAATTATTTTTGGGGGCTGAAATTTTCAGGGATTACTATTGGCATATAGGCCTATCAAAATCCGAAGTTTGGTTGAAATCTGAGGGTGGGCGGATTTTGCCGTTTTTGCACAGACCTCTTTACCAGAAAATTCGTGTTTTGTCGAAGGAAATTTGGCACCGCCTGAAGGGTCATACGGCGTTTTTCCTTAGCACGGCAGTATAGTCAGATTACAGGGGCTCAACTTCAGTTTAGACACCTAAAGTTTTTATAAAGCGTTCTATGGTGCGAATTTCTTGATGGAAGACGTGGGTAATGTAAGATCAAACACTCAAGTTTTTTCGAATGCTAACTTAGGTGATCCATACTATCTAAAATCTGTCTCTTGTGGCCGAGGATGAGAATAAGGAAGGTAAAGAAAATAGATAAGAAAAGAACGAAGTAGAAGGAGATGAATAAGAGGGATCGGAAGTAGAGGTGAAGGAAGAAAAAGAAGAGGAGGAAGAATAAATGAAAAATGAGGGGAAAAGAAGGAGGAGAAACATGAAGAGAAAAAAAAGCGAAAATAAGAAAAAGAATAAGACGAAGGAGAAGAAGAAGAGGATGGGTATGAATATTAGGATGAAAATAATTAAGATGAATAAAGACCAAGCAAAAATATGAGAAATAAGGGGAAAAAGAAGATAATGCGGGGGAGAAGGGAGAAGCAGAATGAGAATTGGACCACATTTTGCAATACGGAACTACTATTTCTAGCTCATTTTAGTAACGACATATATGCCATTCGTTTCCCTACGTAGGAAGGGGCAATTGCGGAAGAGCCAGAAATGGTAATTCCTTATTAAAAAATGTAATCCAACTCACATTTCTTCCTTTTTTTCCTCCTCTTCTTCGCTTCTGTTCCCTGCGCCTCATGAGAAGTCCTTTCCACAAGGGTATTTGGATCTGCCTCATTAAATTAAGTCGGGTCTAAAAGATCTGAACCTGTTAGACCAAGGATAAATCAAATCTACCGAAATTTTAGCACCTACACATCCTCCATCATACATAATTTAATGAATGGAGTGACAAACCTGTGGGAATATGTATCTGGTGCCGGCCGGGGACGATTCAGCGGGACTAGGGCTGGGGCCGAGACTCAAGCTCTGGGAGCTGTAGCTGCTGCCTCCTCCGAACATTCCTGAGAAGGAAGGTGGTTCCGATGAGAACAGCGATGGAGGGGCCGCAGATCCATAGTACGAACTACCCTGTTCAACATTAAAAAAGAAAAATGAACATGGAACCCGGATCAACATCGAGTATGACAGTGACACAAGATCAGTTAGATTACATTTTGCATTAAGGAACCACTAAATCTGGCCCATTTGAGAAACAACATACATGATATTGGTTTCCCTAAGCAGATTTGTACTTTTATGGGAGAGCCAAAGATAGTGGTTCCTTATTGCAAAATGTAATCCAGTTGTCACTATTTTTTGATTGTCGAGGTCGATATCATGGCTCAGACGAAAAAACATGACTTCAAAAATTAAACGTTGAACAACGTCCACCCGCAATTTGCATTTTCAACAGAAAACCGTTTACAATTTCTGATTAAAAATGTCAACAGTTATGCTTCTAACCGAGAAGGAAGGAACATTTTGGAAGAAAATTGCCAGGGCATAATTTTGTTAAACTTATAATCGGACATCCTTTGCACATGCTCATACCGGACAAGCTGCTTCGTGAAAATTTGGCGCTACGTTGTTTTCGACGCCCATAATTTCGCGTATCCTTCATTTCTAACGTGATCCATCCGTCACACTCCTGAGGATCTACGCCATTATATTCACTACGCTCTGTCTACAATTTTGCTAATGCTCGTAAGCAATCAGCAGGCTGATTATCAAAATCGATAGACACAGCTGTGTACAAATAAAAAGACTATAAGAAAATCGAGCGGTCCTATTGGTGAAAGCGGATGGTGCAGGACAAAGGAGGTAAAGTCAGAGACTAACTGGACCGCGTTAAACAGAAAGGAACCAAGCCACATCAGCTGATGTGGCCAAATATAATCGATCAATTTAATTTTTTACATGAAAACGGTTGTGCGGATTTTTGTGCGAATTTGAATGAATTTTCTCCATGATACAAAGCAAATTCCTTAAAATTTTCCAAAAAATCCGCACAAACGTTCCCTCGTACAAAATTCAAATTTCCCTGTTAAATTTGGCAATAGCTGATGTGGCTTGGTTCCTTTCTGTTCAACGCGGTTCAAACAACAGCAGGCTGCAAGAAACTTACTGTAAGTTCTTTATTTTCCCCCTTGGCTCATATAACAACCACCTGTTTCAACCAACAGGATCGCTCTGTTTCCTTTTTGTTTCTTTTGTCTTTAGCTCTAGATACTTTAACGTGAATTGCGTTCAAAGAAATACTGACAAAAAGTTTCCTTTTCCGTGAATCTGAATAGTTTCTGAGAAATAGGTACACTTCAAGCGGTCGGGACACTTGAGGCGGTTAAGAAGTATCTCGGACGATGATATGATTGTGTTCTGCCGAGGAATGGAAGACATGGATGCAACTATTCGGGCTCCGTGAATGCCCGTGTTGCAGCTCCGAGAAAATGAAGGCGTTTTGACTTTCGTTGCGCCCGAAGCAACGTGGCTTGGCGTTACGCGCCAGAGTATTACTAACTAATAAATGCACTTACTCGGGAATGGTTTCACATCAAATAGTTCAAAATTCGTCACGGATTAAACTTGTGACTAGAAGAAAATACCCATTACTATAAAACAAACACCTATCGCCGAATGAAAAAAGAATTTGCGAGTTGAAACATCTCATCGTTGCAATACATTCAAAGTTGCTCTGTCATCGAGATAATAGTTCTTTCTTGAAAATCAGCAAAGCTATGCATGCACGTATTTGCACAAGATTTACTACTCATACTCAGTGTTTTGGAAGTGAAGAATCGACTTAAAAATTTCTCTCCTTTTCAAACAATCATCATTTTCCTAGTTAATTTCCTTCGTCACAATTTCATGTGATTTTCTTTTGAAAATTTATGAATTTGAAAAGGTTTGTGAAAGGTGCCCCCCGAGTGTAAGATTGAATTGAAACAACCCTATAAAAATTCGCAATTTTACAGAAGATTCATTTCTTTAAGAAAATTTAAAGTATGCTCCCTTCCGAAATGAGCAATGAAAGCAACTTTTTTCATTTACTGAGATACCAAAAAATACTGAAGAAACTCATTAATGAAATCCAACCAATAAAACCTTCCAGCAACTTTTCCCCCACGGTTTTCCTGAAAGTAAACCATTTTTTCAAAATGGCCATTCCCAAAACAGCAAGGCAAAAGCATGGATACCTTCCGTCCTTTCCTAGATAAAGGTCGCAAAATTTTCACCTGAAAACTGTATTTTTACGGGGAAAGTATCGAGCATTATTTTTAAGTGGAAATTTCATCCACACTGGAAAAAAAAGTCTCTTGGATCTAGAGTCAGACTCTCAATAACATTGAAAAGAAAAAATACTCTTGATTCAATCCAATTTTTCCTTGAATTGAAGAGCCGCTCTTCTTAATTTTGGCAGGTTCCCTCTTGATTCAAGCAAAAAATCCGATTGAATCAAGAGTATTTTTTCTTGTCAATGTTTTTAAGAGTCTGGACTCTAGATTCAAGCGACTATTTTTGCAGTGTATTTTTTCTTGAATTACATGCAAAAGTAAAATTTAAAAAAACAAAAACTGGGTCAAAATTGCATGATCATATTATTCTGGTCAGAAATCGAAATGCTCGAGTCAATTTCGCATTTTCGGAATACAGGTACGTTTCTTTGTCTGAGAAAGGACGACATGCACGTCATGGCTTCTTGGAACTGAAGGAGAAACCCGTCGTGGAGTTCTTTGCGATACATCGATTTATCTGCCATTTAAATATATGGAAAAGGATCGATTATCAAGGTGTTCGCAAAAAACACCTTAATAATCGATTCTTTACTATAGCTTCAAATGGAGGAATATCGATAATCGAGCATTCACGCCACGTCGCTGGATTTTTTCTCTCCTCCTTCATGGTGATAAGGTTTATTTCTACCCCTCATACTTTGATCTTTATGAAATTAAACTTCCGTCTGGCGGGATCTTTTAATAATCGAGCTTTAAGACCGTTCTCGCGCGCTGGAAGTAATCTCCAAGCTTTGATCATACACATCTACGACATGCGTTTTACTTGCACGAATGTAATTACCAAGCACGCTTGAACACTTTCACGAGAAGATTACCCATGCGGCTTCTATCGATCATGAGATTATCCTACGGGCTGTCTAATATTCTTGTCCCGAAGTCTGCCACCTTTCCAGGAACACATCGGAGGACACTATATTCAATATCAACCATTTTTCTATATCCTTTAGAAGCAGCTCGCGTGAACACACAAATTAAAAAGCGTTCCTTGATGAAAATTTTGCAACAACACAAACGATGAACACAACTCTTGTCGTGTTAGCGTTATCTGCTGAGCCTGCTGCAAATTTTTGATTTCGGAAAAAGTTCTTGTCGGAAAATGGCCATGGAAATCTCAATGAATGTTTCGGAAAAGTCTGAAATTTAATCTTATCATCACAATTTGGACGTATTTCTGCTAAACGGAACTATGTTCATTACTATATGAGCCCTGAGACCCCTAAGAATACATGCTTAACAGGGCTCACGTCATAATGCACATAGTTCCGTTTGGCAGAAATGCGTCCATTTAATTGAGAAATTTGGGCATTTTGAATTGATACATACAAATTACCGCAGTTTCATAGTCCTGCTCAAAACTCAAGATGACTACCGTCATGTATCGAGGTTTTTTGGGTTTCTTTTCATGAAAAAAAAAAAAAAAAACTAGTAACCTAACAAACGGCGAAACTTTCGAACCACATATCTCGTTTGGACTTATTTATGCCAAACGGAACAATGTGCATTATGCCGTGAGCCCCGTTGTGCATATATTCTTTTATGGGTCTCAGGGCTCGAGTCTGAATGCACATAGTTCCGTTTGGCAGAAATAAGTCCATTTCCGGGTTGGATTGGCGGGTGGAGCTAAACGACGAGCTTATTCCGTCCTATGCTCACAATGCTTTTAAATGGCGCTTGGTTCCGTTTGACGGAACGCGCTATCCGGGATTCTAAAATCCTCAACAGGAACTCAAATTAGATTGCATTTTGCAAAAAGGAACCAAGAACATTCTTCGTTGCCAGGATTGTGCAATTGACATTCTTTGCAATACAATTACTGAAATCACGCAAAAGATTAAATTTACCGAGGATATTTTCGTCATAAATTTATAGTTTATTGACAGTGAAGATGAATATTGTTTGAATGGTCAGTTTATATTCGCAAGGTGAACCAAGTTGCATAATCTTAGCGACATTGGAATGCTCTTGGTTCCTTTTTGCAAAATGCAATCCAATTGACACTTAGTCTCGTTTATCAGAGATTCGACGTCCAATTTTAAAATATAGGGGAGGTATCGGTGCACCATGCGGGGTCCGTAAAATATTCCGCCTCTGTTTACTGCTCTTTTCGATACCACAGAGGTACCCCCTGATCCCGGGGCACCATCCCACGCCATTGTCCCTGGCAAAATCCGGAGAGGAGTTTCCCCGAGAAATCGCGGCGTTACCGTCTCCCGTCGCCGTTTTCGTAAGAGGCGCTCGGCGCTTGGGGCGTCGTCGCGTCGGCGTCGGCGTCGGCGTCGCATCGGTTACGCCGCGCTTGCGAAACCAGAGAAAGTGTAAGGATCGGTCTCCCTTTCCTTGGACTCACTTTCAGTTTCAACGCTTGTGTTTCAACTCGGAACGACACAGTCGCGGAGTCGTGTAAACAGCCATTCACCCGAGCCGTGCTTTGCTGGTCGCGAGCTTTGGGAGAACCACCGCCGCCGCCGCGCCCGCATTGTCCCGGATTAAGCCCGCGCTAAGTTCCAGAACGCTCCCGAAGAGGCCGAGAAAGTATTCCAACCATTCTGCCTTACTAGAGTACCTGTATAGGGAGAGTAGCGACAGATCGGTTCATGGAGGGCTTAGGGCTCAAAAGTGCAGCCACCCTTATGAGCAACTTCTAACACACAAAATTTCACTGCCAGCCTTCAGATTTCAATTCTAACCAAGATGGCTAAGAATGTACATAAATGAGCGTTCTTTCGCAAAAATAAGTGAATTTATGCAAAAAGTAAGCCAAATACATGCTTTCTAAACGACGGTTCGTCACAATTGTATTTGTAAATCGCTCTGGACATTCGAAATTCATAGGTTGGCTGCCCTTTTGGGCCCTAGCTTTATCCGCGGAGGCATCGGTGAAGGCCTGATGAACTTTCGGAGTTTCAGATCTGTCGCTACTCTCCCTATACAGGTACTCTACCTTACTAAAGAAAAACGCCGTATGAACATCCGAGAGTTGCCAAATTTCCCCTCCTGAAATATTAATTTTCGAGGAAAAGAATAAAACACTTATGCTTGAAATTTTTTGCTCCTTTAGATCACATTGCGAAGAAAATTCTCTGCAAAAATAGACGTGGAATATTCACAAGTTTTCCTGTAAATTCTTATTTTACCAAAAGAACATTGGGAACGCACGAAGGTTCGTACGGCCGGCGTTTCCTTCGCTTGGCAGAATATCATCCCGCTTCACGATGCTACGACCCGGGGCCGGCCGGGTCTGATGCACCCTTGGATCCTGAGATAAAAGCTCCCATCTTCAGGAAAAATTCCGCCGTCACCCTATTCAAGATTTTTCATTTTTCTTCCATACATGCCACTCTATTAATAGGATGCATGATCCGTTTCCCATGCTCCGTCTCATGCAATTTGAGTTTTTAATGGTATGCCACTATTGGTAGTTGCTTAGCACTGAGAAAAAACTGTGGGCGTGAAATTCATAATTACGAGCTACATAGCACTACTGTCCATTACGGGCCAAAAGTTACAGGTGGAGCAGACGTTGCTCCGGCCGCTACACCCGGAGCAGAACACCCCAGAACTCCGAGCGTCTGGACCGGCAAACGAACGGTATAATGCTATACAGTATAGCCCGTAACCACAGCTTCCATGCCCGCAGTTTTTTTTTTCATTTTTATTAATATTATTTTTTAGTGTAGAACAGTGGAATTCCATCTTAACCCTAGCGTAAATATTACCTTGCGGTGAGCTAACCATCACCTTGCGGCAAGGTATCGGCCTATCCACCCTCACCGAGCCCTATCCGAGCCCTCGCCGGGTCAGTTCGTGGAACTTAACGACTGGGAATAATTATGCATGGCAACGCTGGAGACGAAAATCGTACCCAACACGGGGTATTTCCCGATGCAATGTCGCCTTTTTCAAGCCCTGCGTCTGGATTTGGGTCTACAGCGTTGTCATACGGTTTTAATCCCGGTCGTCGAGTTCCTTGAACTGGCTCGGCGAGGGCTCGGATAGGGCTCGGAGAGGATGGATAGGCCGATACCATGCCGCAAGGTGATGGTTAGCTCACCGCAAGGTAATATTTACGCTAGGGAAGGTTATACAACCTTGACTCAAACAATTAAATTTTTTGCAAAACTATGACAGCGAATTTTTACCCAGAATTGGACGTATTTCTGTCAAACAGAACTGAGCACCAATTTGAGTTCCTTTTGAGGAATTTAGAATATCGAATTTCGCGTTCTGTCATAGGGAACTAAGCGCCATGGAAAAGAATTGCGAGTATAGGACGGAATGAGCCCGACGCCCGGTTCCGCCGCCAATCCAAGCCCCCCTCTACCTTCCATCCCCTATGGCGCTTAGTTTCGTTTGACAGAAATACGTCCAATTGTGCTGATCTTTACGTGCAATCGAAGGGAATAAATCAGTGAAATATTCAGTCAGAAGTTCCAATTTTCGCGCCCTGGCCCAAGGCCGCTCCTACCTCTTCCTTCTCGCAAAAGACAGCATGAAAAATGAATAAAAACACACTGTGCTATTCATCCGTGCTAATAAAGATCGCCGAATCTTCGATGCAATGCATTGTCTCCTTAGAACGAGTAATGGAGAGATACTCACAACGCTGGCGTACTGGTACTGACTAGAGTCATCGTATGGGAACACTATGCTGGATCGGGACTGCGCCTTCTGACTCACATTGCTGCTGGAGGGAGGGCCGCCACTCACTCCCCAAACCCCCGTCAACAGTGACACCAAGAAAATTCGCTGCAACAGGCAAGAGATAAAGCGTTAGTATCGTTACGGTACCACGGTGCGTTCAGAGAAACGCACCACGAAGAGAAATTCAATATGAACACTCTTTTTCATGTATTGGTACATCTGAGCTTTTTATGTGTTCATAAGATGAACCGAATATTTTCCAAATCAAGTAAGCGCAAACATTCCGAATGCGAGAAAGACCAGAAAACCCGTTTTATTTGTTATGTTGACAATCTTCGACACTTTCAGCTTTCTCATATGTCTCGTTTGTCTTCTGCTATTTCAGTGATTTCATTTAAAAGACATTAGACGAATTTTTAAAGAAGTTCGATTTCGAAAATTTAACAATCATTGCTCTCTTCTGCTATATCACGGCAGCGCAGATTCTGACATAATTGCACTGGAAAAACTTCCATCGTGCGGCTTTTCATTTTTCCCGATGAATAAAAAGGGTCACCTAATCCGACCTGATGAAGAGGCTCATCTCCCGCACACATTTCTCCGTAATCGCGAACGCCACGGAAAAGACACGTTTTTGCGGGTGGTGTATTTTGAAGAGGACGATGAAGAGGGGTATGATTTGCAAATTTTCGCGGCCATGTTACACTCGAGTGACGATTCTCACAATTTTCCTCTCAGAATATAATTTCACTTTTCGAATAATCTGCCAATCCTCTGCGCCTCGCTAATTGGAATTGTAAGCTGTTGTCATTTAGATTAATATGTCTCCTCGCCGGTTTGATGCGCAGTCAAAAAGTTTTCCATTCACATGAAGCACTAAGGTTTTAGACTCAGGTATCCAAAATTTTCAGCCTTAGGATCAGAAAGGGTTGCAGTTTTTCATGAAAAATAAAATTTTGAATCTTCATACATGACATTTCAGGAAAATATGACAAATATTGAACAATAGTATTTGAAATTAAATGTAAAATTTGATGGCAGGTGATTGGTTTTTGCTTGGTGGTGTTTTTTAGTGCGTGTTGCATACCCTGCCCCTGAAAATATGTTTCATATGTTTCATATTTTTGACAACTGCATGAAATTTCACGAAAGATTTCATGGAGATTTTCAATATTTCATATTTTTCATTTCACACGTGCAACCCAGGGATCCGACCCTCGGCACAGTTGATTGAAGTCTTTCGTAAAAAACATGATTCTTACTTATAGCTGACAAAAACCCTAATCATGTGAATTAACCAACCATGTTCTATAATCCGTTTGTCGAACCAAACTTTTGAGTCACACACACACACAAAAATTCGTTTCAAAAGATCGAACTCCGTAAGTGAACCGAACGGAGAAAAGAGGTACGGTCACACAAATCAAACGTCCGGTTCCACTTATCAAAATTTCTCTTTAGGAGAGCGGATAGCTCGATCGCTACGGAACACCGAATTCTTTTGGTGAATACATATAATTACTACATTTTTAAAATACTGTAGGTAGTATGTTTCGCGATGCGGTAATTTGATACAAAACTCCAGAGAGTGCCACTGGGCAGGTATTTTCTAACTTTTTACTTGTAAACTTATCGAAAACAATGATCTTATTGCTTCAATGAGAAAAAAACAGTAAGGACAATGATAAGATCGTGCATTAAGAACAAACACATGAATGATGCAAACTTGACAACAGTGCTTATTTCTTTATCCACCTTGCTAGGATAAACAAAGTATGCCCTAAAGCTACATTTTTACGGGTGATGTCGCTCTATTTTTATTTTAATTTTGAAATAAAATTTCCTCACAAAGGTTTGTACATAAATTTGGCAATTCAGAAGAGTCTCCTACGCGGAAGGAAAGTGCGACTGATGAACCGCTGTTCTGCGGAAAACTCACTTTGTCACTTAAGATTTGACCCTAATTTTTAAAGACTGAAGAAAAAACTTAGTATTTAACTTGTACACAAACTTTCCACGCCTTAACGAGCCTTCCTTGCTCCCTGCATCCCAGTCTAATGAGCAACAACCCGAGGTCTCGCCTTCAACGTTTGAAACTCACTCTCCACGCTTTTGTTTAAGAACTTCTGCCACAGTAAGACTTCAAAAGTTGGTCCAGAAAAGGATATGCTGAACAATTCAAAGTTGCATTATTTCAGGTTATATGGAGAGATGAGTTTCTCAAAAAGATCAACCTCGCTCAGTGGTCCCCAAAAGAGGTTTCACAGTTCAAACGAAGCATATTTAGATTGGAAAGACAAAACTTAGCAAAAGTGGAAAAAGCTATTCTTAAAGAATACGAGTACATTTTTGACCAGACAGAAGAATACAGAATATCATAACGGATAGTAAAATACAAGATACAGAATTTTAACAAAAGATCAGAGAATTCATTGATGTCAAAAAATAATTTGGAGAAAACGTATGAAATGAATCAAACAATAAGTTTGGTAACTGATTTTGACGATGAAACCACATGAACTTGAACATGTGGTTGGATGTAACCACCCCGAGGCAGAAACACCAAAACGTATCCAATAACGTCCGGAAAAACTTAAAATTCAGTTATAGGTACCAAACATGAAAAAAAGTGTCATCCATATATTTTGAGACATAAACCGCCCAAAAAAGTGAAATTATGCCGGAGATAGTATGACTATGGTGTGCAGTTAAAAAAACCTAGTTACAAGAAGAACGCTATAAAGAAATGTTGGCGTTGTTGAGAAATGGGAAGTAATTGTTAAAATTCCTTCGGCTGTCTTACTCACGTATAGCCCTTGAAGCACCACTACGAATAAGACAAACGGAGACAAACACCATAGGGAAATAGAGCGCGGGGAAGGATGCGCGTTGACGACGGCGCAGTGAAACAACTGTTCGTACTTGATGGACGTCTGTGCTGCATCTGAAAAATTGAAGGCGTGATGACACGGTGCGTTAACTCGCAATGCTCCGATATATGTTATCGATGGGGTGTCACTCGGATTCGGGAGAAAAGTTAAAAAAGAGGCCCGAATACGTCTCTCCTGTCTTCAGCTGTGTCGATACCTACTCGAATTCTTCCTTTTTTTTTCGGGTTCATGTCTGATTCTTTTTTAGGATGGATTTGCAGACCTACATCTAAAGCTAGTGTAAATTGTATTACTGGCTTGATTCCTTTTGAAATAATGGTGCTTGAATGCATCTAGTAGCTTTGATTTTTTATTTTTTTCTTTAATTTTAGAAGTCTATCGCTTACTTCAATACGTTCAATTTTGCAATTTTTACTTTGTACGATTAATCAACTTTGAGCGTGAAAATAGCGTAAACGTGTGCTATTTTAAGATAAAATGAGGGAGCTAATTACCGCACAAGTTTTCACGTAAATAAAAAGTTTAAAAAAAAAAAAAAAAAAATCACTCACTTGTGACGACTTTTTGAACGGAGAGGTTACGCCAGTCGTACCGAAGATGAGCCGCACTTCGCTCGAAACGCGTCTGCCAATGGAAAAAGTCGTCGCACATGTGTGAAAAAATTGTTGCTTTTTAAAAACTTTTTATTTTGTGCTGTTTTGCCAAAATTTTCTGAGCCTCCCTCCACGTAGGGGGTGCTCTTTCGGGGAATTTAGCATCACGCCTTTTTAACCAGTCGTAGGTCTACGCTCTCAGATGCGAGCCAGTCCGACTCTGCCTGAATCTTGTTTTTTTTCAGAGTTGGCACCTTTTAAGTAGGTACGAGCCTTAGCTTGTGACTAAATATTTCGCTTTTTCCTTCAAATGATCTACAATTTTTTTTCAAATTTTAAAATTGTCCTACATGAGCGCTAGCTTTAAGCCCTGCCTTTATAAGCCTCACAAATACATAAGTAAGCCTTACAAATTATTTTGTTTTGAAGTGCAATTTTTACACAAACCCGTTGTTCAAAATATATTGACGGTGTAAATCGCCAATCACATAACTCGGTTTGCGACGCCGCAGACTTCCTGTCGTACTTTCCTGGCAGAGATTTTCAGACACCGCAAACAAGATATGTGATTGCCGATTTACACCGTCGATATGTCCCTATATTTTTAGAGATGTAAATATTGGTCTCGCCACTGGGTGCTATAGTGGTAGTTTTGATAGTAAAGCGAGAGCTATCCACTCTGTTGTGATCGAGATTAAAAGCACGTCCAAAAGGACAATCTAAATAGTCCGCCTCGGATCATCGATCTTTGGTGAAAAGAAAAATCAGCAAAGCACGTCAACAATGCTGAGACCCGGGTTAATGAATGGGCGAGTGCCCGCGTACGAATCTGCGGAGACGTAACGATGCTATTGAACTCCTGTTACACGTCGACATCGTAGCCGCTGCTACTCTAAAAAGCTCCATTTTATTTGAAACACAAAGATGGAGTGATCACACTGAAGACCCCTGATAACGGTAATTCAGCCATTAAACACTTTATATTAATCTCTTCGCGGAGACTAGACTTATAACATGACGACGATGAAACTAAAGACCAAGTATCTCCTTTCCGGCGTTTAAAAATCTCCGCGCTCATTTTATTTTATTTTTTATTTATTTATTTTTTTAAGGTAGAAGAAATCAGTATCGTTACTTGAAATTTTTAGAGAGTTCTCAAGAAAGAACACGGAAAATATCAAGAATTAACGTTCAATAGATTTCCATTTGGACGTATTTATGCTAAAAGTAACTACGTCACACGCAAACCCTATGCACATAGTCCCTTTTAGCATAAATACGTCCATTTAAAAGTTAAAGCATGACAGGAAGTCGCAAGCCAAGATACGTGGTCTATTAATTTCACCGTCGAAGAATAATCGCAACCAGGGGCTACAGACTTCATCGATTCTTAATCATACTCGAAATAAATGGCACATACATGTATTCTTATTGCAGTGTAGAAAAAATAAAATTCTTTAAGCATTCCTCCAGGTTTTTGAAGAAAATGATAACCGTTGAAAGTATCAGCACTATCGTCACCTTCCGGCCAAAGTATCACAAGCGTCATGCGACGTTTCAAAATTTGAACTGTCATTTTACTTTTTAACAGAGAAATTATTCAACGAGGCTGTTCGAAAGT